AGGCAGCGTGCGGCAAGCTACACTCCGTACCTGTTAATGTAATTCTTAACATTTGGGCAACGTATGCTGAGAAGGGAAAATGTCGGTGCTCTTAAAATACACCTCTGCTAAGATGGACATATGAGTCACTTGTGCACCTGCTCAATGATGCCTTTAAAAGTAATCACTCTTGCTTTATTTTTCTTTCTACACATAGCTACCAATTTTTCTTTATGTAGATAACCTGAAGGCATATGTTATGTCGGATGGCAGCAGTTCGTATGCTGAAATTATTTGTTCTCTTCCTTTTCTTCCATTATTTTCATGTGTGTCAATCAGAGGAATTAGATTTTATAGTTGTGCTTACTAATTAACTAGAACAAGTTGAGCCAATATTTAGACGTAGGAGTCAGCATGAATAGTTTTATGAGTAATGCTTATAGTTTAATGTCAACTACTTTTACTGATGTCTTATGTTTTATATAGGTTGTGACCGTAATTGTGAGCCTTATGGGAGGCAACTCACTGGATAAATATAATGGAGCCTGAGTGGTGAATTTGGTAGCTTTCAAAATGGGCCTTACTCTGTGGCTTTTCCTTCCACGACAACATGGTATACGAGTCGGCATGACGTTGTGTAAGGTACTGATGATCTCTGGCGTGAGATATTATGTGATTCTAACATCGATGTCTCCCTTGGCAAGCATAACAATGTGTGCTGATTGACTGGAAGTCAAGGTTCTGGTCGATTTATTAATATCACTGGATTTCCTTATATTTTCCTTTGTGCTCATCTATCCTGCGAGTTATTGTTCATGAACCCCCATTCTTATGCTGAAGGAAAAACATGTGAATGATTTTGTAGGAGTTTCGGGTACTATGAGCATCTCAAGGTTCACACCACAACAACTGTCGGAGCAGGCATTCACCTCAATGCAGGGAACATATGGTCGGTAACTATCTTCTCCCGTTTAATTAGCCTTTGCTGCTCCATTTTAAATCTCCTCCCGCTTGAAAGTCTTTTGTTCCTTTCTTTCTTCTTGCTGAGTACTTCATGGCCTGGTTGTGTTTGACCCCTTCATGGTCCTGACCGGTGTGCCGCCCCGTGAGAGCCAACATGAACAATAGGAAGTAGAGAGGGAGGTGGGGAGGACTTATATACAGATGATTAGGGGGTCATAGATTTGTGTAGCAGGCTAACATGTCTAATCCTGTGTCTGCTGCACAAATAGATTGAGTGGTATTTCGTTTTTTCTCCAACTAACAATTTTTTTGTTATATCATTTTGAATACCCAGCCAAGCAACATTTCATTCATGTGAAACTCAACATTTGATAGTTCAAATACAAGATAAAGGGGCATGCCTTACAAATAAACTATATATAAAGAGTAAGAGGCAGTGGAGACCACCGCGTAGAAAGCATTTAATCAATATAGACCGTCGGGTTGTACATGCACCGCTATCTCTTTGAGATCACCATGAGAGTGAGATTTGTAGATTCTACCTTGAATCAGTTAACACTTTCCCTTTGTTGTACAAACTTTTTGTTCTTATGATGGTACCATACTTACTAATTATAAGAGGTACAAATAAACTATTCCTTTGTTTATCTAGAGATATTTTTTTTAATTTCTATGCATTGAAGAGATGGCGAATCCCTTGCTACATGTACTAGGGTGATGCCCAGGTTCAGGAAAGGGTCTTTTCATGCATAAAAAGAGAGTATATCTTCTAGCTATTATCAGTTTGTATGTGCACATAGTTATTGAGTACAATGACATAATCATCCACAGTTTCGTGAAATTTGAAATCCCATGTCTTTATCATATTATTCATTTTGCACTCGGCTTTCATAAAAGATAAAGGTTTGTTTTGTTTTGTTCATACGACCTATTTCGGCTTTTGAGATTAGTTTCAGTCTCTTGGTACTTTGAAGTTTATACTGCACTTCACATAAAAATACCTGGTCATATGTTTTTTTTATTCAGCAAAGTGAACATCTATACTAACATAACGACTCTTTTTCAAAGGCATCTCACCATTGACTTTATTACTGATGGAAGGATCTCCATGCCGATTGCTGTTGGGAATCATTTGCCTCTACACCGATGACCCTCTCTTGTTGTATTATATCTTGAGCTACCATGCCATCCTCCACTGACCGCTATTTGAACCTCAGTGCAAATTCTTCTGTAAAAATGACTCGCATAAAGTCTTTTGCACTTTGCTCTCGACTTTCTAAATGTGGATCATACTATGTGTTGTTGCTTTCTTTGAGATATATCAATGGCCATCAATTTCCTTTTATCTGTCATAGCCTTCATACCTTTCTATTCTGGAATTTATATGGTGTACTAATAAGCTATCTCGGTTTGGTCCTGATTCGGTTAGCATGTGGCATGCAACTAAACTTAATTGTACTGGACCATTATTGTTATATAAGTATCTATACCTCTTTTGGTTAAGGTCCCATCGAAACTGAGGCATTATAGATGTCTAATTTTATTTGGGTCGCTTCATGGATGGTACTTTTGGTAACCTATATCTTGATATGTTCTATTTTATGTGCAATGCTCAAGTTTCTTTGTTACCAGGTTGGATATGGCTGCATCTGGCACGGGTGGGCAAACCGCATTTTCTACCAGATTTGATATGACCGCACCCAGCAGGGGTGCGGGGGTGCGGCAAGCCGCACTTTCCATGTAGTACATAATGAGGCACCTCTCGACCGTAAGGGCAACTCGTGCATGACCCAAGAGACGTTTGTTTTTTTTTTCCGGATTTCATTCGATTGGGGTGGTAATGGAGTGACATCAGACCGGATCTCTGGATGCGCCGGCCGGGCGCCCAACGTGCGGTCGCATTTCGGCCGCGTCTAGTCCGTCGGAGACCATTTATACTAGAATCAAGCATAGCAAATAGTTCAAATTAAACATAGCAAATAGTTCCACATCTAAAATAGTCTTACAACCCAATCGAAACAAAAACAATATCAATAGTCTTACAACCCAATCGAAATTTGTTTGCATGAAAAGATATTAAACTGATAGATCTACTTGTTGCCAATGTGAGTTCACATGTGCTCAACCAAGTCATTTTGGAGATACACATGAGTATGTCAATCACGTATTTCACGATGGAATTGGATAAACTGTTGAAAGGTTGCAGGAGGTGGCTGCTCAGGCTCAACATTTTCACCCTAGAAATCAAACCCTTGGTCGTAGATGCTATCACCACGCTCATCCTCCACGATCATGTTGTGCATGATCACACAAGCAGTCATCACCTCCCAAAGCTTCTGACTGATGCATGTCAATGCAGGGTTTCAAACGATACCCCATCGAGATGGAAGCACACCAAAAGCATGATCCATGTCCTTCCTAGCACTCTCCTGCATTTTGGCAAACCTTTGTCTGTTTTCTCCTTGCGGATTGGGTATGGTCTTCACAAGAGTTGACCAATGAGGATAGATACTATCAACTAGGTAAATGCCTTGTTATAATGGTGGTCATTGATCTCAAAGTTGACCTTTGGAGAGTGGCCTTCTGCAAGCCTTGCAAACACTGGAGAATGCTGAAGCACGTTGATATCATAGTGAGAACCAGCCATGCCGAAGAAAGAATGTCATATCCATAGATCTTGTGAGGCCACCATTTCAAGTATGATAGTGGAACCTTTCACATGCCCCTTGTACCGCCCCTGCCAAGCAAATGGATAGTTCCACTTCCAGTGCATACAGTCTATACTACCAAGCATGCCCGAAAAGCCCCTATTGGCATTGATCGCCAACAACCTCTCAAATGGACAGTTCTCCCACTTCTAGTGCATACACATGTCTCCTCATTCGGAATCGGTGACGAAATTGATGTGGTTTGAAGAGTGCGGCATTCTCAAAGTAATCGGCATAGAGAAGGGTGTGGCCTTTCTCCCTATTGCGGTTCAGGCCAGAGCATGGCCGGGGATTGATCCCCTGAACTAAGGCCACTTCCTACTAATGTGGTCATGGATGACCAATGCAACCACCACAAGCTCTTCATCAGCCGAGAACAAATCATCCGATGAGCAAATGAAGTTGTGAAAGAAATACTCATCCCCGCTATCCATTGTACCTTGTGAGAAAAGCGTCGAACACCTTGCGATCGTGGTGGAGACGCAGCCGGAAAGAGCACGTCGAGCTCCCCTCACAGGCAGCAAATCAAGTTTGGGTCGGTGGTGGTGCCGGGCGCCCTGCGGCAATGCAGCGTCTGCCGAAACTTGTTGTGGTCGACGTGCGACGCCGGTGGCCTTAGCTTCTATCCCACCGACAACAAGGAACCACGAATGCCGGCAAAAAGCTTTCCATAACATGGGCGTGGGACGACTATGGCATGGCATGGTCGTGGTTAGGACGGTCTTGGTGGAAGGCAACGCGGCCGTGAACGGGGACGGCGGCGGCGATGGCATGGGACGGAAGGCGGAGGGAGGGCAGGGGAAGAGAAAGGGGCTTCTGTGCCACCAGCGGGCATGCCAGGTGAGGACAAGGGCACGCTCCCCGCCCGTCCGCACGCGATGCCGGAGCTCACTTGTTAATCCCCATGGCTGCCTTCTCCTTTTGCATTTCGTTTCTCTGGACTGGAAGCTGGAACGCCGTGTTGATTTGATTGTGGTGGTTGCACGCCTCTGCAGGTGGATTCATAGGATTCGCAATGGACAGGTAGCATACGCAGCAACCAGTAGTTAATTAGTCATGCTGGTTTTTTGTGTGTGGGGGGGTGTAAATTAAATCATGCTGTTTGCAATCAGTCGTTTTTTGTTGTTATGAATTGCTAGCTGTTAGGTTTATGAATCCTTCATGCGGATGCTTTTTCTCTTTGCCGTTTTGAGCTTCAAATGCATGCATAAGAAAATTTATGTGCTATCCTGTAGCTAATTAGTACTAGTATGTTTCTGCATTCTAAGTCCCGCGTGTTGAAATACAAATGAAGGCATTGAGATTTTTTTGCAGATAACGGTTGATGGCCAAGTTGTCACTGATCCAGATATGATTCTCAGGTATCCTCTTATGTTGTTTGCAGTACACATTTGCAACAAGAGTGTTATCATTCTTATTCTCCTTCATCGTTTCCTTTATGTTAGTAGCTACCTTTCAAAACTAATATGTATTTCATTTGGACCCCCCTTTTCAGGGAGGGTTCTAAGTTGGTATATCATCGCCTCGCATGGAAGGAGCCATTTGCACCACATTTGCTTCAAGTGCTTTATGAAGATGACGACATGGTATGCACTTCAACCTGGTATTCTTGCTAAATTGCACATAAACACATTCCATCCAACTGTCGATCAGCCTAGCTTGTTGTCAAGGTTCAAGTCCTATCTGTTTTTCATCTATTTTTTGCGAGCCAATGTTTTTTTCCCATTGTCATGTTTGTCTATGGTAGTTGCAAATCTTGGTACCAATTTTCAGCAAGTATGAATCTTCCTTCATCCCTATGTATGTTTAATAAAATTAGTTGTAACACTTAAAGCTATATAATCATAGCCATAAATCAGCTCACCATTTTTTTTTCAGGTCGCCCTTAACAAGCCTTCCGGTTTGCAAGTTCTGCCAAAAGGAATCTTCCAGCAGCACACTGTTCTAGCACAGCTTCAGTGGAAAGAGTGGAAGATGCCCCCATCACGCTGCTCTAAGAGAAAAAATGTGCAGTTACATCCTGTACCTGTTCATCGATTAGGAAGGGGCACGTCAGGTTTGTAGCTTTTTGTTTAGTTCACTCTGACCAGTTGAGGCCTAGCAGATGTGAATTTTGTTCCTTGCCTATGAAACCAGGAATCTAGGAGAAATACATATTTGCTGTTTCTGGAGCTCTTTTTTTTACCATCCTGTAACAAAGAGCCCTTCTGCAATGAAGCCTCATTTTCCTACTAATTTTTTGGTTATAAAATGTGTCTCACAGAAAAATGTTTGTTACGCTGCATTTCCATATGTAAAAGTGAAACTCTTGCTGATGACCTGCATGTTCCATGTTATTAGGTCTACTGCTTTGTGCCAAGACAAAGCTTGCCAAAGTTCAACTTGCATCTTATTTTGCAGAAGGTGCTGCAAATGCAGAGAAGAAAAGGTGTACAATCTTCTCTTTTAAATTTGGAAAGAGTATCTGTATCGTTAGCACCACCCAGTATTGGTTAAGTGATTAATTTAATTTATACGGATGAAACTGAGGTTGGCAAAGAACGGAAAATTTCAAAATTCTATCGAGCATTAGTAACTGGTATACTTGAACACGATGAGGTGCTGTCCTTTCCCTACTCACACCTGTGAATTACACTATCCTAACTGATATCTTGCTTCAAAAATGTGTGTAATGGCCATATTCTTGCAAACCAATATTTATGGTATGATTTTTTTCTTTGCACCTGCAGGATGTGGTTACTCAACCCATAGGATTGGTTCATTACCCTGGAGTTGCAGAGGGACTTTATGTGGCATGTTCCTCAGGTACTACAAGTTTACCGAACCAAGAATGGGCTTACTAAAATCGACAATATAGGCTATATCGAACAAATCTTGCTTGATTTATTAATGCATCTCCAATGCAGTAAGCGTCTAGCGTAAGAGCCTCGATCTCCAATCCAGGCAATTATTTTACAGACACTTAGGTATTAAATTTTGATTTAAGCATCCATTAATTCCAATGCAAATTTTGCAAGTGCCTATATTCCTCGAACAACCAAGTTGGCTGCATTTGTTTTACTGGTTTTAGCGGAAGTCTCCAGAGCTCTCAGCTTCTCAGATAATTCTGTTAGCTAATTAAGGGCTCTCTAAAAGAAAAGAAAAATGTTGCTAGTTAAAGCTGCATGCAGGAGATGGCATTAATTAAGGCAGACATGTAGCGCACAAATCTAATATGCCAAGGAGTACCGGTATAGCACTTGTATCCCGATAGATGAATACAGTCGAGATCGTAACAAACAAGCTAACAAATCAAATGGAGATCACAGCGTAGTGCTGTTGCCTGGCGAAAAATTCTGCCTACATGAATAGCTCGGAGTGTCCGTCTCCAGTTCCAGCAGCGATGCCAGCGCTGATACCAGGAATAAGGCCGAAACTGGCAAAATGACCGTGATTAGTGCCTGTTGTTAGCGCTGCATTGGACATGGCCTTATGTGGTTTTATCTTGCATTATTAATTCTCAGGGAAGCCAGCCATGAGCAAAGTGTGTGTTCTTGAGAGACTTGCGCACCAAAATCAAACGCTGGTCCAGGTATGATGGGGTTCTGCGTCCTGCTTTTACATATTCATTTATATATGCACATCATTCCCTCGAATTACTGATGTGTACAAGGCTTAGATTATGATTTCTTATATATGTCACTGTTTCTTTTCCTTGACTGGTGCAGGTTGAAATTCATTCAGGACGGCCTCACCAAATCCGAATACACCTTGCATACATTGGACACCCTCTTCTTGGTAAGCCAAAACACTTTTGTTATTTTGATGGGCATGATTTTACTTGAGCTCTTTCTTCCAGGCTTAGCTAAAAGCGTTTTTGCATATCATCGGTAAAAAAATTCTAAATAAAGGGCATGGCAGATCTTATTTTCATTAAATAAACTCCAATGTTCAGACACTGCATGATTTTTCCCCAGATGATCCTCTCTATTGTATTGGTGGGCAGCCTAAATTTCATGACCTGGAGTCTACTAGTACGGATATTTCTTTTGCATATGACGGGTAATTCTTTCATCTTTTAGTTGTGCTGTGAAGTACGTCCATGTATGACCCCCCCTGTTGTTTTATCTAGTTTAACTAACCTTACTAATTCTTTTCAGAGGTTATGAGAGGCCTTTACAGCCTGTTCCCGGAGACTGTGGGTATCACTTGCATGCTCATTGGCTGGTCCTTTCTCATCCAACCACGAATAAGGTAATGAGAAATTAATCTTTCTAAATTGGGTAGTGTTCTCCGCCTAACATGCGCAATAGCTTATGGGCCTTAAGAACTGTTTTATTTAATGAGGAATGAGTTGCAACTAATTTTGTGGTTTATTTCTGAATAAGTGATGATTGTAGGGTTTTATTTTTCAGTACAACTATGAGTAAATCTTAACAAATGACAAAGAGTATTTTCTTTCCCTAAAACAATGAAGAATTAGGTTCACTCCTGTATAACTGTATTTGCTACTATTTTGTTAGATTGTTAGACTGAACAAAGCAGGTAGGATATGCTACCAATCATATTACCAAGATGCAAAATGATGTTAAAAGAAGCATTAATGGTTCCTCTGAGAGTCTAAATTCTTATACTAACTATGCAGTGACTGCGTCTGTGGGGGTAAGTGGCCGGACGTGCAGCAGGTGACTGCAGATCTACACGAAGACATGGTCATGGGTGTTGTCTAGTCTCATTTACAAAACGGTTCTTTCATTCTATCAGTGCACGAGGAAGCAAGCTTTTGCATTATTTATAAAAGGGAAGAAGAAAAAATCCCCATCAATGGAGAGAAACAGAGAAAGATCAACACTGCTTATTTTTCTCGATGCAGTTATAGTCGTGCAAGAAATACCTCAATATTTTCAATCTAACATTAGAATTGTAAATATAAACTCCAGTATTGTTGTTCAGTTTGTGTTCAGCTTCTAGTTGTTCACTTTAGGTGATCTGGCTGGCAGAACGAACTATGCAATTGACTGTTTGATCATTTATTCATCCTTTCTTTCATAGGAATGCTGACATGATATTTTTCTTGTTAGTCCCTTTCCTTTTAGGTTCACTGACCAACAAACGATAATGACTGAACACCAGGTGTGTGTTTCCCTTACATTTTTGTGGTTGGCTATGCAGATGCTGAAGATAACCGCCCCTCTGCCGCATATCCTACAAACTCGAGAGGAGCGTTGCGATCCACAAGTTGATACTTGAGCTCATAACTTTCCATTTGAAAGTATGTGCATCCAATGAGTTGAGCAATCAGTAAGAGTTCACAGGTCATGTTTTACAAGCCTGTGGAGATGGAGGCTATTGAACGCTAACGTCCGCATATGAGGTGTTGAGTGTATCTTACGGAGTGTCAGACTGAGTTTTTGCGTGTGGGGCAGCGTGGACAATACAGGAAATGGTATTGCTGAGTTTGAATGGTCACTGGACGCTTCTGAGGGGGAACCATGAGGAACATTTGTGTTAGATGATGGAACAGAGTAAACTTTTCAGGTCACTGCGTCTGAAGATGCATGCACACAGCCAAAGGATAGACTAACTGCTGTGCGTGCGTGTGCGCGCGTGAGCGTGTGTGTGTTCGTGTCGTATATATGCACACAGCAATCAAAATTCATTAAAATTTTGGCTAAGATTATCATCTACAAGCATGTAAACTACTCCCTTCGTTCCATAATATAAAAGCGTTTTTTACACCACTAGTGTCAAAAACGCTCTCGTATTATGAGACGGAGGGAGTAGTAGATTACAATATACTAGTATTCCGAACCAAGTTCGTTTTTTATTTTATTTTTTGCGTATGAACATGTTTGAATGCGACAGCCCAATGGCCCTGCTTTTGAATCGAGGATCATTCAGATTTGATTGCTGAAACTAGAACGAACATAAATGAATTCATCTCTGAATATGAATCTTATACGGCGGATTTACCAATAGCGTACACGGAGTGACGGAGTTATGACCGGCCTGTGCCGAACGCGTGTTCGCAGCAGCAGAGTTACACGAAACACAGGACACCAGCACAAGGGGACTGCGCGGCGACACCGTCCCTCCCTCCCTCCCTCTCTACACCAATGGAAGGCTCGCCGGCGACGCGTCTCCCCGAGGCCGACGCGCTCCCCGATGGCTTCGTCGAGAGCTCCTCCGCCGACCAGGCCCAGCCAGTCTCCTCCGCCCCCGCCTCCGCCGCCGCCGGTCCCCTGCATCCCGCCCTCGGCCCTGATCACGAGGGCGCCGCCCGCGCCGACGGCGAGCAAACCCTAGGCGCTCCATCCACCCCCGCCGACGCCGCCGATGCCCTGCGGAGCCTCTCTATGGCCGCCGCCGCTTCGGAGCCGGAGCGTGCCCCCGAGCAGCAGGGGCCCGCCGCAGACATAGGAGGTGATCTCCCCCTCTCCCACGCACTGGCAGCTTCCTGATCTGATGTCATCTAATTTCGACGTCAAATCGTCAGTTACAGTTTAGGGTGAATGAGGCAACTTATTAAGCGGCTTCGCCCATCGCCATTGAAGTCTGTAACATGTTCGCTCACCTTGTTTTGATGCTCTGGCACAGGTGCCAAAGATGCAATGAAGGAGAGCTTTGTGGTAGAGCAATCGGAACCGCTGGCCAATCCAAAGGTTGCCAACGCAGAAATGGATATGGTTTAGATTTCTCTGCCTGCTATATTGGTGTTGGTGGGAAGATAAGTGTGTGCTAAACCGGATTGATTCCATGACTTTGTAGGATAGTGGCGAGCCAAAGCGTAAGGTCGTGAAGCGGAACAGTAAGCTAGAGAAGGACAAGGAGTTGTTGCAACTTGCCCAGAGGTACCATGGAGTGGTAGCGGAGAGGGATGCAGGCAAGTTTCTATTATCCAAAATGTGACCCCGATGCTTAGTTCTCCAACAGTTGAATGTAATGGATAAAAATCCGTTGGTTACTCTCAGTTAAGGATCCACTGTCAAAAACCCCTAAGCTGTCCTTTGTTTGGAATAAAGTTATCTAATAACCATGTTAATATATAACATGTGGTGATTTGAAAACTTCTGGATTCTTCTCATTAAACAAAAGAAAACCTATGTAACTAAATACTGATTGCTCTGTTTTTTTTCCTTTGTATGCACACTCGTAAAATCCTTACTACCTTAAAATGTATTCTTTTGGTCTTTCATCAGAAATTATAGCATGGAACATCTGCTGGACCAGACACATTTAGCAAGAAGAACATAGCGAAATCTCCTTTCTGCTTCTTCCATGGACAATTGTCCACTCTATATAGAAAAGATGCATTATATGATCGTTCCATCACTATATAAATGTATTCATTTATTTGAAATTTGGGTTAACAATGAACACCGGAAGGATTTTCAACCCCTAGAAAATTTTCCTATAGAGGCACATGGGATCAGAAAACTAAAAAACTGTGAACACTAAAATTCCTATGGTTTCCATAGTCCATCACCCCAATTCCGTAGAATTCCTAGCCAAGGCTTAGAGCTCTAGAATGTTTTCTGTGTCTGGCAACTGTGGGCTATGGCAATACATCTAATAATCCCTGAAGAAAATCCATGTGTTCTTTTTATGGTGCAACCAGATGATCAAATAGTTTCTATTGTTCATGTGTTTTCAATTCATGCAGGATTCTGTATGTCATGACATTTAGTTACTGTGTATTTTTCTGTTCCTGTGTTTACCATTCATGTATTCTTTTTTTTCTTTTTGAGAAAACGCAAAAGCTTTGCATTTCACTGCATTGATAGAGAGAAGAGTCATTACAAGCTCCAAGAAGGACGCACCCAACATACAATAGCCCAAGCAAGGCCATACCCAACGCACAACACAATGCCCCTAGACGCTAGTCGTTGCTCCCTTCAGGAGCAAAGCCACAAGCCTAGACACGCCCGCCAGAGCCCACACTGCCTAGCCTCCGACTTGATTGTGTTGAGGAGACGGTCGAGGTTGAGCCGAGCATTGTCGAAGATGATTGCGTCATGATGCTTCCAGATGCACCAAACCACTCACGGGGTGACCGAGGACACGCCCTTCCGAGCCGAGGACCCGAGGTAGGAGACGAGAAGCAAGTTTCTTGCCACCAATCCACAAAGTCCGCCCCTCGGCTGGGCCAATAGCAGTCAACCTGAACCAGGAGAGCACTTGCCAGAGAGGAGGTGGGCCATCGTCTCCTTGGACTGGTCGTATAGCACAAAACTCGATGTGTGCTGCAAGCCACGAAGCCCAAGACGCTCCGATCTGGTCAAGCGAGCTACTTGAAGAACTTGACGAGCGAGATCCGACCGCGCACTCAAAGAGAGCGTCATAGCAACTCTTGGACATGTACTGCACATCCGCCGTCCAATGGCACTAGAGGGCATCCGTGTGGGGAGCAAGCTGCACCACACGTACCAACTGGCAGATGGCATAGTGCCAGCGCCCCATGCCGCCCCTGATATCCGAGATCCAACGTTGATGCGATCGGGCATTCCGAAGATTCAGGGAGACTAGCTGGTGCAGCTTGGGTGCTATCTCTGAGATTGCCCGACCATGAAGCCAGCGGTCCTCCTAGAATAAGGCAGTAGCTCTGTCGCCAACCACCATCTTGGTGGATGCGGTGAACACTGCGTGTTCATCCCAGGAGAACTGGAGGTCGAGGCCTTTCCAGGGGCGGTTGGGATCAGTGAGCATCCTCTAGAGCCAACAGACCCGGAGACTGATTGCCACCCTCCTGAGGTTCAGAACACCCAGGCCGCCCAGACGAAGGGGCCTACACACCCAATGCCAGTTGACGTGGCAGTGGCCGCCCTGCCAACCAAAAGGACCCCCTGAGGATCTTGTCAATCTGGGACCGCTTGTTCAAGCCAAGAACCACCACCTAGTGCAATGGCATGGTGGCTAGGACCGATCTGACTAAGGTTAGGCGCCCAACCTTTGCCATCATCGATGCCCTCCAAGTAGGGAGGCGATCCGTGCTCATGTCAACCAATGGCTCGAGAGCCGCACTTAACAACTTCCGGAGGATGAGGGGGATCCCGAGGTACTTGATCGGGAATGGAGCCAGCTGACACTCCATCACCAATGCAGCCTCGAGGCCACCTCGTCCGAACAACCTATGGTGGACACCAAGCATTTAGCGAAGTTGTTGCAACCCCGACATGT